GTAAATTTGAAAGTAAATGAGAAATGTCACATGGTGATATAAATTTGTCTCACAAACAACATTAAAACATCTATATAAAGTAGACACAATAAGTCCCAAAAAATATAGATGATTCATAAATAACTTAAGTAAGGGTATTTTAAAAAAAGAGGACAGTGTAAGACACTGGTTCTCAACCAGTGGACCGGGGCCCATTTGGGGGGCCTCAGCAAAGTTCCCTGGGGGCCCTACCCGATTAACAGGATTTTGAGTAGCATTTGCGGCTCTTTTTTTTCTTTCGTGTTTGTTCCTTGGTTTGTGTCAAAACAGTTTAGTAGATAGCCACATGGAAAACAAAATCTGTGTTTGTCCTTTTACAGGGCCCAGTCATTTGCTGAAAGATTGCGGCTGGGGATCGCTGTGATCCACGGTGAAGCCCAGGATGCAGAATCGGACCTGGTGGATGGACGCCATTCCCCACCCACTGTCAAAAACAGTGGCGCCATCCTTCCAAGCCTAGAGATACCATGTGAGAATCTCATCTTAGCTAACTAACTCTCTCAGTCAGTTTTACTTTTTCCCCGTTATTCACTATTGTCTTTTTTCTTGAATAGTGCTGATTCCCAAAGAAAAACCCCCAATAACTGTTGTGGGAGATGTTGGTGGACGAATCGCCATCATAGTGGTGAGTTCAATGAAGATTTGAATGTATTCAGGGTGCTATTTTAAGTTTATCCCTTTTGTTTTGTTTTAGGATGACATCATTGACGATGTCGACAGTTTTCTAGCAGCAGCCGAAACTCTGAAAGAAAGAGGCGCCTACAAGATCTTTGTCATGGCTACTCATGGAATCCTCTCCTCAGATGCCCCTCGGCTAATAGAGGAGTCTGCCATAGATGAGGTCATCATAACATTATTTTAATTTGAGGTTCAGAGTGACAAGTGTGTGTTTTCATGAACTAACTTTCTGATGTCCTTCTGTACAGGTAGTTGTCACCAACACCATTCCACACGAGATCCAAAAACTCCAGTGTCCAAAAATAAAGACGGTGGATATCAGCATGATCCTGTCGGAAGCCATTCGCCGCATCCACAATGGAGAATCCATGTCTTACCTTTTTCGTAATATAGGCATGGATGATTAGCAGGGTCATGTACAGTCAGTCTTGACATGTGCACAAAGGTCAATCATTTTTCTCTCCCTATTAGCCTGTATCATTAACCATTTTCCCCTCTGTCGCCCATTATAACTGCTTCTCCTCGTTGTATGTGTAATATTTTGAAATAATAATTGTACGTTCAAAGAACCGGGATGTTCTGCGATTGTACATGATTTCAGTGTCCTAAAATGCTGATGTCAAAGCGTTTAGAGGTTTGAAGTGCAGGAATACTCAACCTATTTATATGAATTTGAAGGATTGGATTTAAAAGAAGGACCACTGGATGTCAAAATTACCTCTTCGGTTTCTTTTTAGCCGTAAAGTTTCTGTCTTTGATTCTATCTGGTTTTGTTTTTTATAATTGGAGAATGGACGACTCCACTTTGTGGCCAACAATTACGAAATGTTACCATATATAAAATCTATGTTGTGACATATCAGTGTCAGTGCCTCATGACTTGTGTAATTATTGTGCCACAAATAGTTTTTGTGTTTCTGTCTGGTAATGCTAAGTAGTGCTGATGTTAAATTGAAGAATTACTTTGTACAAGGCAAAGGTACATGCATAGACCTCAATATAGCCCTTAAGATCGAAACTAATGTACTTGATTGAATGTTCCCCCTCCCCCTAGATTGTTCTACTAACACTTTAACAATTTATTTGTTTTTAAGCATCTTTGCTTCACTTATGTTTGATCATAGAGGCCAGAATTTCTAAATATATTGCCTCTAAGAACTTGACTTCTCATTTTCAAATGAAATGCAGGGTTTTTGTTATGTAACTAATATTTAAGGCTTTTGTATTTATTCACAGCACTTGATGACAATAAATAAACAGACTATATGTGTCATATGTGTACGGTGTTTAGTTAATGATACACCCTTTTCTTATGCCAGCTGAGATAAGATTGACAACTAGGTTGGCAGAACAAGAGTTTCAAGTTTATTGTACCATGCTACTCTGTGCTATTCACTGGCTTTTGAGATCTGCCTTAAATTGGTTTAATTAAGTTCACCAATATAATTAGCCAACAGAGGGCAGTCAACACTTCACAGAAATCCCTAAACATATTATTTGGTAACACTTTAGAATACAATTTCTTACTTACTGCACAACTAATAAGGAATTACTGAATAACTAATATGGTATTCTTTATTAAAGGATTAGTTCACTTTTGAAAAAACTTTTGCTGATAATTTACTCACCCCCATGTCATCCAAGATGTCCATGTCTTTCTTTCCTCAGTCGAAAAGAAATTTAGGTTTTTGATGAAAACATTCCAGGATTTTTCTCCATATAATGGACTTCAATGGGAACCGGATGGTTCAGGTCCAAAAGATAGTGTTAATAAAAGTTTCAGATGCAGCTTCAAATGTCTTTAAACGATATCAGACGATGAATAAGGGTCTTATCATGCGAAACGATCGGTTATTTCAAAACTTATTCCAAAAATGTAACTTTTATAAGGACAAATGCTAGCCTTGCTATATTCTGTGAGGCGCGTTTGCAACGTCACGTATTACGTAATTACGTTCAAAAGGTCACGGGCGACGTAGCCGAAAGTACAGAGTCAGTGTTTACAAGTTGAACGCATAGGTTGAACGTGCAAACTAACTCAAACACCGTTTACAAAAAAAAGGAATTAAAAGGAAAAACAACGATGTCGGACGATTTTGATTCTGTACTTCCGGCTACGTCGCCCGTGACCTTTTGAACGTAATTACGTATTACGAGACGTTACAAACGCGCCTCAGAGAATATAGCAAGGCTAGCATTTGTCCTTATAAAAGTTACATTTTTGGAATAAGTTTTGAAATAACCGATCGTTTTGCATGATAAGACCCTTATTCATCGTCTGGTCTGGTGTCGTTTAAAGACATTTGAAGCTGCATCTGAAACAGTTATTAACCGTCTTTTGATACTTGAACCATCCGGTTCCCATTGAAGTCCATTATATGGAGAAAAATCCTGGAATGTTTTCATCAAAAACCTAAATTTCTTTTCGACTGAGGAAAGAAAGACATGGACATCTTGGATGACATGGGGGTGAGTAAATTATCAGCAAAAGTTTTTTCAAAAGTGAACTAATCCTTTAACACTTAAAGGGTTAGTTCACCCAAAAATGAAAATTAAGTCATTAACTACTCAGCCCCGTGCTGTTCCAACCCTGTAAGAGACCTTCTATTCGTTCGTCTTTGGAACAACAAATGAAGATATTTTTGATTAAATTTGAGAGGTGGATCACTCCTACATAGGCACCCTAAGGGATTGAAAAGGGATTGATTTTAAATTTTCCATGTGATTACAGTGGCTCAACTATAAGTTTATCAAGCGACGCGAATACTTTTTGTGCGGAAATAAAACAAAATAATGACTTTATTAAGAGATTTCCACGACGCATCTTGTGCATGTGTCGTGGAAATCTCTTGAACTCTCGTCTCAAGCCTACAAGGAAGAAAAGGAATAGTCAAATAAAGTCGTTTTTTTTTTTTTTTTTTTCGCACAAAAAGTATTCTCGTCGCTTGATAAACTTATAGTTGAGCCACTGTAGTCACATGGAATATTTAAACATTTTCTTCAATGACTTTCTGGGCCGTCAAGTTTCAATCCCTATGGGGCCTATGTAGCAGTGATACACATCTCAAATTTAATCAAAAATATCTTCATTTGTGTTCCGAAGACGAACGAAGGTCTTACGGGGTTGGTACAGCATGGGGGTGAGTAATTAATGACTTAATTTTCATTTTTGGGTGAACTATCCCTTTAAAGGAAAATAAAAGTTGGGGTTTTAAAAGGATTTAAAGATTCCCTACGGTTCTATTAATTTCATTAAATGACACAGATAAGCAGAGTTAGACGATACAGACTGTTCCTGTTTGCATAATGACTCTAGCACCCTGAGGGCAGAAGATACCAGCACTTCTGTCATGGATATGGAAAAGATCTGCTTCAGCAAAAACGTCTGTAATGGGAAAGTACCGCTCTACAAAGCTTAAGATGTATGACCCAAGTAATCTTGCGGCTAGTTTCACAGGGAAGTAACAACATCCTGATATTTCCTCTTTTACTAAGCTTAATAATCATTTACTAAATGATTGTTCTTTAAAATACAGACAGAATTTAGTGACAAGTCTTGAGTTGCCCACAAATCCTAGCTCAAACCTATCTTCAAATGGATAGTGCAGTCGAAAAAAAAAAAAAAAAAAGAATTTATGTCATTCACTCACCCTAATCTTTTACAAACTTGTAAGACTTCCTTCTTCTGTAAAACATAAAAGATGATAAGAAAAAAGTGGTGATTTTTTTTTTTCTGTCCATACAATGAAAGTCAGTATAGTCCAATGTTGTTTTGGACCCTACAGAATTACATACATTCGGATGACTGAATTGAACTCTTTAAGAAAATTAAAACTTTCTGGTTAGCAAAACAAACTGCAACTGCACCATTACTAAACTGGCAGGAACACATTACAAGCATGAACAATTATAAGCATTCTTTGGTTAGGTGTGAGGTATGGTGATGCTCTTCTTTATGAAATCTCAAGTAGGCCTTTGCCAAATTAACTAAATATGGCCCTTATTTGCCTGCTCTGTAACCATAAAACTGAAGTAGACTTTATTGGAAATATTTTTGGATGACTAATCTAACTTCCATGTAATTTACCCAGCAAAGGTTCCTAGAGTTATGGCCTTAACACTTTGTAAAACTACAGTCTACCACAGAAGAGAAGACCAGTCAACAAAAGCAAATTTCTGAGAAAAGTTTTTAGACTTCCTGGTATTTAAATTAAAACCCGTTACCAGTCAGTCGAAAGTATTATTCATTCTTCTGGATGGTTTGTTAACACAAGAAGGTCTTTATTACATGGACTAAGATATCTGTTAGCATTAGCATCCTTATCGTCTCAGTGGCAGTTGCTTGTCTGGCCCATCTTTGCATGTGTGCTCTTAGTTCAGGCTCAGCACACAACTGTTTTTCACTTGAACTATAAATTATATGTGATTAAATCTGGAGTTTCCGGAAAATTACATTGGGATAAAGATGGTGGCTGACACCACAAGAAGACTGACAGACCCAGGCCACCTAAGAATAACTTAAAAAAGTAGCCAAACTGAATGAGGTTATGGTGTGTAATAAGGTTAAATCATGTTTGAATCTGCTTCAATAAGTAGCAACGATTGGTAAAGCGTTTTCATATAATTAAATAAGGGAATAAAGTCCAGCCATAATCAAGTGAACTCGAAGGTCTGTTTCAATAATTCAATATATGCGTTTGTACAGTCTGGGGTTTTTTGACCTCAATCTAAATGAGTAACACTCATATCCATTTCCTTTAGTATGCCAACTAACTAAAATCAGCCCATAAAAGAATCAAGAAATAACATGTAATGCAAATGGTGAACTATTTGTGATGATTTAATGAGGTCCATAATTGATCATTTACAATAAACTGAATGTAAGAAAAATAAAGGATTTACATATTAACAGCTTTAGGGACAATCATAAAGCTTTATCTAAAAGTCTGTGTCGGCAATTTACATAAAACGTTCACTTTAGAAAAACCTGTTTGTATAGGGAAAACCCTGTTAGCTTGAGTGCATTGTAGAGGAGCGAAATGCTGTTTGCTAAATGGAATGAATAAAACAACTCAATTAACTACTAAAGTAACAGTGGCTTTTTGATTTCTATTGAACATCATTATAATTTATGAAGTCAGTATGAACCATAAATTCGAACTGCACTTTGTTCCCTTATTCTAGTTGCTTGCTTGGTGGAGACCCTTTAAACGCCTGCTTCTTTACTTGTCCTGGACATACAATTCCGGAAGAAGAGCAGCTATATTTTGTAATGGATGCAGAACGTTTCCTGGAAACGCTTTGCTGGTCTGACTGCCTGATCCTAGGTGCAATCAGCTGGACCTGAGGCTGTTTTTGGGGAGAGATGGGACTGTTTGGTGAGGGGACTGTGCGAGGGGGTCTCTGGGGAATTAGTGTTGACCTAACTGGAGCGATTCCTCCAGTGGACAATTCTTCAGGAGATGGAAATAATGTAAGGCTAGGCTTATTTTGCCCCCGTGGTTTTCCAAGTGATGGCAGCTTGCTATGCAAGCCAGCTTTAGGAGCTTGCAGCCTGAATGAGCGAGTGTCTGCTTTGCTGGTAGTTAACTTAGTTAACCCTCCTCTTGCTTGAATAGGAATTCTGGATGATTTTTGATGTGGTTGCTAGGATGAAGAAAAGAACATTTTTTAGTGATATTATCCTCAATGCAGTTCTCCAAATTGATTTCTAATTGAACTAGCACTTGCTTCTTGATGGTAGTACAATAAGAAATTCTTACCTTCCTAATCAGACACTCCTTGGATTTAGCCTCTGGCAGGATCTTGTTCATTTGACTTGTACAAATATGTTCCCCTTCTTGTTTCTTCTCAACCAGAGCTGATGGGTTCCTACTGTAAACATCATGACCAATCTTATTTTCTTTACGTTTTCTATCATTTGCCGTTTTTGGTTCAATAGGCTCTGTTTTGCTGAACTTTGTTTCTTTGCTCAGTGCAGCTCTTGGTCTTATGGGATCAGAACTGTTCCGCTCTGTCTCTTGGGGGTCCGAATCCTCTAATATCAACAGCACAATGGTTTCAAACTGTTCAGGCAGTTTCTCTTGAGGATTGTGCTCCTCAGAGTTTATCTTTAACACTGCTGGACTGGCCTCATCATTCTGCAGCCGTAAGTGCTCTTCAGATTTGAGGTTGGGTGGATGATTTGATCCAGAATCTAAATAAGTCATTGGATTTGGCAGTTCCTCACTCTTAGGCAACTCTACAGACTTTGTTACCCTGGTCTCCTCTGGAATTACAGAAGTTATATCTGCTTTAACTTGCAGTATTGAGCTTCTAGATTCACTGCCTGTTCCCAAATGTGGTTTGAGTATTAAATATGGACTTTCCTCGGACTGTGGGTCCTGTTGTGGCGGTATAGTTGTTGTTTCTAGTAAGTGTGCAGATTGTCCCTCACATACTGAATCTAGACTTACCTCAGGTTGTAAATCCTGCAGTTGCAGTTTTGCAGTTGTCTCAGCTAACTTTACAGACTGTCTTATACAGTTTACATCTAGACTTACCTCAGATTGTAAGTCCTGACATATTAAATGCAGACTTATGTCAGATTGTAAGTCTCGGAGTGATTCCTCACACACTAAATCTAGACTTGCATCAAGTTTTAAGTCTTTTTTTACTTTCTCGGCAGATTCTGCCTTGTTCTGTATCTCTGATTTCTCCTGAAATGCACTTATCTTATGTTCTTGTAAACAATTACTTATTGATTTGCTTTCTACTACTGGCTCTGAGGTAACTTCAGACACTTGTTTTTTGTGTCTGTGATTTTTCTTATTCAGTTGAGTTTGAGTAATATCCTCAGACCCTAAAACTGCCTTAATTTCATCTACCACTAGGTGACTGTCAGTTGTTATTTTTAGTATGTGTTGAAATTCAGGCTGCTCCTGTCCAGAATCCATTTTAGGTTCATCTTTTTCTTTCATGCTCTGACAGCTTACCTCAAATAGTTTCTCATCTTCCAGTATTTCCAGAGGTTCATTCAGGCTGAAGTCCTCAACTGAGCTTGGTTTCTCATGATCCATACCATTAATATTTGGATTCAAACCTAGTGTGTCATTGCATTCAAAGTATTCCTCTGAAGTTGAAGAGACGTTGAAGCAACCATTAGGAGTCTGTGAGAAATATCTGATTTCACTATCTTTAACTGGTAGTCTACTATCATTTATTGTGAGAACTTTGTCACTTTCTTGGGCAAAGGTGGTTTCGGAAGTTGCATTTGTTGTTTTGAACTCTGTAGATAAGAAGTTGAAGACAATACTGCAAGAGCTTTTCAAAATTTTTGGAGTAAACAAGGTCTGTTTAGGATCCAAATCTGTGCGATCTTGAGTTGGGGATGAATTTGAATGAGGAAATTCCTGCTCTTGATGATCATTTCTGATTGCATTATGCAAAGATTCTTGTGTTTTTTCAGCCACAAAAAAATCTCCTAAAGACCTTAAGTCAGCAACAGGGCTAAAACAATCATAGTATACATCAGACAATGAAGAGATGCTGGAATCACAGTTAGACATTTGTGTACCATAACAGCCATTTTGGTTTGTCTCTGGTTTTGTATATCTGTGTTCTTGAGTGGCAACATCAATTAAGACTTGGTCATCAAGGCATTGCTTAACAAAAGGGGTGTCTGGGACTGCAAATAAGTCACAATGAGATTTGTTGTCCACTCCTGATGATGATTTAATGTCAAGATCCTCAGAGGTTTGAGCAGGACATTTCAGAGGTTGTGGAGTAACCACGGTTTGCTTTGTATCTGAGACTCTTTCGTCTTGAGTAAAAGACACATTCGCAATTGCATTGGGAGAGTGAATGTTTTTAGTCTGCAAAGATGTAGAGATGTCAAAGATGTCTTTTTCCATTCCACACGGTTCCTCTTTATCAACTTTATGACAGGCAAGCACATGCAGAGTTTCTGGCTTATCCACAGGCAAGATAAGATCCTCACTCCGGCTGCTTGTTTGATGTTGATTTGGATCAAAATTCTTCTGAGCTTCTCCTGATGTTTGATTCTGTGCTGGAGCTTCAGGATCAGAGGGAGTTTGGGATATGATTCCAGGACAAGCCCTCAGATATATAGACTCCTTTGGCTCATGAAAAGGATCGCTGAATCGGATAGCTTGAGACACTTCAAAGAGCTCTGAGCGCATTAGGTGAGCTTGCAATGGCTTGTTGGAGTCTCTTATGTTAATGAAACCAATGACATCACTCGTTGGGTCAGGATCAGGCCAGGTCGGCACATAATTGATCATGTTCGCTTTTTCAATGTTTAGAAGTCCCGGGTGAACAGATGGCACCACTGGGGTGTCTTTAATTTGTTTGATGACTTCTGTCTGATTCTTGGAAATGCTGTTCTTGGCACTTGTCTGGTCTGATATAGGTCCATTGGTAGTGAAAGCACAGTTAAAGACCAGAGTGTATTTTGGGTTAATGAGCTTGAGTGCCTTGGTTGCTGAGGGAAGTAGAGTTGGTACCGCCTGAGGGAGGAACTCAGGTTCAGGCTCACTGATCAGATTAATCTTGCTCAGGCACACTTCATTAGACATCACATACATGTCCTGAAACAATGCGTCAAATGTTTCGACTGCTTGGCCAGAGAGAACAGTGATGACGTTTCTGTCCAATCTAGAGGCAGACCACGTGAAACTGAAAATAAAGAAAACCTTTTTTTAATTTGATTAATTATGTATATTACGGATGTATTTGGCTAATAGAATAATGAATTAGGTTAGGTCTAACCTTGTTAAACTGGGTTGACCACACTTACCTATATGACCCAGATACTGCTTTGTCTCCGTCAATAAACATGAACTTCTGGCTTTGGCTTCCACACACTCTCTTTGAGGATCGACTGAAAAATTGTGCCCCTCTGATGTTACGCACTCTCAAATTCTGATGGAAGAAGAGAGTTCAGCATGTTTGGTTAATGCATGGATGAAAAAAATATCTCACAACTCTCACAATAGCAACTTAATACAACATTAATGCAAAAGTCAGACAAATATTGTGGTATAACAGAAATGATCGGTTGAAGTATAGGTAAAAAATTCCATTTATTCAAGAGAGTTAGAAGGCAAAATCCACAATATATATAAGCACTTTAATATCTGAAGACTGGAGGAGGTTTGGACTCTGGAGAGAAGCTCAAAATTTGTATTGGTGACAAAATCGAAGTTAAAGCCCATATGGGATTTGGGATGTCAAAAAACGTTGGTCCGACTCGCCCGTGTCTTGGCCACCAATCTGCTGGGGAGACATTTATTCTTATTTAATAGAAACCCCTGGACCCTTCACTCATGAAAGATTAAAAGCTTTCAAAAGTCTGGAGGCCTATGATTATTTTTTTTTCTCTAAAAGTTGGGCCGATCTTTTCTGCCAAACAGAAAGCAGTGATAGCGCTAAAAGCAACATGACATCATGACTTTTGCGTGAACATACACGCCACTTTCGAATCAAGTGGGGTGTTATCGATATGCATTTTGAGCTATGCGTGTATGTGTACGCCGTTAAATGTCCGAGCGAAACGAAGCAAAATCTAGATCGGCGAAATAATCACTGCTCTTTGCGACTGCAAAGCCTGGTAAGTCTTCATTGATCAGTGTTTTTATTTATTTATTTGTTGAAAATGAAATGAAAAACTTTTTACCAGGCCCCCAACAAGCCGTACAATCGACCACACAGCAAGAGTGAACCATCCTCTTCTCTAAATCCTCCTCCAAACGTGTAAAACAATCAAATTACAGGTATCTAGTGTTTCCTGCCACACGATTCCCATGATGGAAGGCAACAAACATAAACAATGACGTGACAAAAGATCCGCCTATTGTATCATGCCTTTATCACTATTCACATTTCAATTTCCTGTTTGTTGTTGGGTTTGTGGTGCTTTTAGGTGATACACAGACAAAAATACAGTGTACAATTTTATGTTATTTCAAAAATGTGTTGCAAAATTATCTAGCATCAGCAAAAATCTGCTTCAGTCTCAAAACAAGACCATCATTTGTCATAAGCGCTCACAGTTGCCTCAGGCTGATTGGAAAATTAGACTTTCTGATTTGTAGAACTTAAGTTATCTCTCGATTGTTTCTACTCATTAAACTGCAGGCTTTTAATAATATGTTTCTTTTCCGCTAATGCATATTTAATCTTAACTTGTCAGTCAAATGATTTTCTAATATTAGTTGTGACATGCCTTGAGGTGTCCAGTGTGCATGCCTGCTTTCTCACACATTCTCAGAAAATGCTTTACACCGGTGGCCTCCAGCATAATGTACACAGCAACCTTTCGCTTGTAGCTTGCATCAAGAAGATCTTTGAAGATGTCAATATCTGTGAACAAGTCCATGACAATTGCAATAACCTGCAAAAGGGACAAGCATTAATGAAAACACAAGGACTTTGAGGTAAAAAGAGACAGCACATAGTAATATATCTGTCAAAAACACACTGTAATCCAAATGTTTATTCATGCAAATAAAACTGTGCACACAGATGAAAAAAATGGACATTCTTGAAAAATGTATTCAAAGTAGGCTAAGCACAACAGCAGATTTTGGGAAAGTGCATGGGACACTGTCAGGACTATCCCAAATAAAAGCTGTAAGATCCAATCATATATTTTCTTTATTACAAATTGGAATACCAGCATACTAATTTGTGATGATAAGAAAAAAAGAGGCAAGATCTGACAAAACATAGTTTATTTAAATTAGATTCAGAATGTTAAAATTTCAACGTGAACTGTGCACAAATAAAATTTAGTTTTGTTAATTATTGATTGGCCTATATTATCATTTACTTAATATGTGTATCATTATATGATGAAGTGTTTTAAATTTTCACTTTATTATTTTAAAGTCAAAGTTTCAGAAGGTACCCATCCTTATGACGCAGAGGGCTGATAATGACGTAAGCCTGTTTTATGAGATTGAGCACACGTGTAGAAGATCTCTGTTCACTGGACTTTGGTCAGTGTCTTACTATTCACAACTCACAGGTGAGTCACAACAGAAATCACAAAATCATATATAAGTTTTATCCCCTACCTACCCTCTGTGCTTGACCGATAATTTTTCTAACGACCTCCTTAATATGTGGCTGACCCTCATAAGGGGGTTGAGTGTACACTTGGGCACGCGTCACTCCGCGGTAGGACACCCGGTCCAGCCACCCGATGTCCAACTGTGGGATCGAGTAGTCCGAGCGGTCGGGCCAGTACTGCAGGGAAAGCTCTTCCCCATCACTTTCCCCGTACAGTTCAGCGTCATTGTCGTGGGAACCCGGGCTATACACCTCCACAGTATTGAGAATCCTCTCAAGTTCAAGGTCCGATAAAAAGCAGCGGATGTTCTGTGTTTTGATGTAGTCCTCAAAGGCGTCCTGTCCGTCCTGTATGAGGGTCTCCAGTGCGATCCTCTGTTCCTCGCTGTAAAAGAACTCCGGCTTGGACTCGTTAGTGCGTAAGTTGATGTGATTGTCATCAAGGCACTGAACCTGTGAAAGTGCCATTACTTGAACTCAGCGTTAATTTTAACAGCATTTAAAATTCTTTTGCGCAGGCTTTTTGTAATTGAGTAAGTTTAGTTCAACTATTTTAAACAACAACGTTAAATAAATATTATATATTAATAATAAAAAAAAAAACTAAGTCACGCGCTCTCGCTTCTGCTCATAGTTGATCCTGTCAAGAGTATGAATGTGTGTTCAGTACTTCACGCACAGATGCAAGTACAGGTAAGCGCAAACACCTCAGTCACGTGACTGACTATCAACCAATTGTAAAAGAAGCCCAACAAGCTTTATGGTAGCCTACTAATCAGTAGTTGGGAAGTTTTCTATGCCAGTTTGAAGGTAAAATGATCAGCTATGTTGTGCAATACTTGTACATATAAGTTTATTATTTTTAATTTAAGTCTTTATCGATTTTTTTTTAATTATTTAAAATGATACAAAAAATGGTGCAGTCAGAGCTTGCTGTCATCTGATAGTTCTGAAAACATCAAAAAGACATGAAACTGCTTCATATATACAGTTATTTAAAACATGGGCCATTGAATAAATCATTCATATTTATGTTTGCATTCTAATGTATGCTAATTATGCCATCATGCGTTGTTTAATAAGGACTAGGCCTACAGCTACAGCAATGATGCTAAAGTTAGTTTACATCTTTTGCAAATTAGAAATTGTTGTCGCCCATGTGTTTGGTTGGCACACATTGGTTTACAAAATTCACATCTGATGTATTATTGTGTGTAATTTATGTATTAAAAAGTGAAATTAACCATGTTTTACTCATAAAACTATTCTCTTTAGGCTACTTACAAAATGTCTCCTCATATCTAATCTCCTTAGGACTCCATTTGACTTTGCAGCACATCAGATTTTGAAATAATGGAAGACGAAAACTTCTTGAGCTTAGTAATTTCATATCAGTTTAGTCATTTCCCGGCTTGATCATAGACATTTTGTGCCCAAACTGAAAATTATTGACATGTGCATATTAACTCGTTTAAATTCAGTCATTATAATGCTAACATTTACATCAAAAGACATCAACAACGGTTATAAACAACATACACAGACAAATTGATTGAAGAAATGTTTGAGTTAATATCCAAATTTGTAAGCAAAGTGCAGTGAAGAGATATATTAATACTACAATTCAAAATCTATATATGCATATTAATACACTACAGTAATGGATATTATTTTTTGTTCAGTGATGCTGGATAATTTGACGGCTTTTATCCTATAAAGCTGAAATGTGTCATCTTAGTGTCAACAGCATGATTACGTTTTGGTAAATGTCCATTTCGGTATGTTTGCATGTTCCACAGTCATTTTCAAACACACTTGGCTTGATGATTCCTGTCGTATTAAACCAGTGAAATATGCTAACAATCGACTACTGCTATGTACACACAGTGTTGTTGTTATTGTCCTTCAGAGTCATTGAGTCAGCTGGACGTACTCAGGGGGGAAAAAGCCCACACGTCCACGGCAACGACCTTTCCAGCGTTGAGAATCTGAGCAGTCCAGCAGCTCTATGACATCACCCCGCAGGAAGTGCAGCTGGGAGTTGTGCTCTGGATTGAAGTCAAACAGGGCATGTGCGTGATGGGGCCACTGATGGGAAACAATAACAGACAAAGGTCATTATTGCTGTGCCTACCTTCACATTTTCCACATTTTGGTCCTTTTTTACTGTTATACTATTATGATGACACCTGATATATATTTCATAGTTTCATAACGGATTAGTGTGTTTTTCCTGGTGTGGATTACATGTCATTTGGATAAATGGCAATCGGATATGAATTATTATTATAAATGTAATGGAAACTCTTTAAAATAAGGTTCATTATTAACATTAATAATTAGCATGAACTGAACTGCAATTATACAGCATTTGTTAATCTTTGCTAATGTTAATTTCAATATTTACTATACATTATTAAAATCTTGTTAACATTAGTTAATGCACTGTGAACTAACATGAACAAACAATGATTGACTGTATTTTTATTAACTAATTTTAACAAAGATTAACAAATACAATAACACATGTATTAGTTTGTTAATACATTAACTAATGTTAACTAATGAAACTTATTGTAAAGTGTTACCAATTTAATTTACAATGCAGCCTTGAAAGTGTAAACATGCTTCACTTTAAGTAATCACTTCTGTGCTCACAAATCTGAATACTATGTTTTTACAAATTTGCTGTCTTTTCCCATTAAACCAACATTGTCTTGCTCAAAAAACAAAAAACAAACCCGACTTTCATTTTAGAAGTATGACATTTTAATTTCTGTTGGCAAAATGTTGGTACCCAGTACAAAATATTTTCATAAGAATAATATAAGTGTTGTCTTACCTTTAGTGCATCTTCTGTATCCCTCAGAAACACAGTCCTTTCCCTTGCAATGCTGTTGGTCTTGTAGAATTCCACAAGTTGATTTAAGGAAGGGAAAATCTCCTCCCAAATAAAGTAATAGCCATCTCTATCCTTTAACACCTTGAAGTGCTGTACGTGATCCCCATAGCTGGTAAGAAGAGACCAAGATTCAAAATAAACACATAGCAATACAGAATAAACCCTCATTTCATGCAGTGCAGTGACACTTCTGTGCCACTAGTGGCCACAAATGGAATTGCATTAATGACTGTTTCCAAGCAGGTTTTCCAAACCATTGTTGTTTTAGCCTGTTTATATCATAGTATTTAATACTATTTTGATTCAGCTTTTATTTTATTGTTAGCTTTTAGTAATTCCATTCTGAGCAATGCTGAAATTACCGGTACAATAAAAATAATACTTTTTTGAACGAATCAAACTAAATATAGGCTATAACCATTTGGCAATGCTTCAAACAAAACTCACACTTTTAAACCAAAACATTTCACAGGAAGAATTTGCTGCTTTTTTTTTTTTTTTTAAAGGGTCATGATACAGATTCAAAACCGTAAGGACCGTACAATGGGCTGTGTTGTCTTTTGTCACAACGCATTGCACCGCTCGCGTCTGGTGTAGACACGATGTTAAACATCCGCCCTTATTTTTTTTTTAATTTTAGAATCTGTAAACAGCTGTACTCGGTGCAGGCCAAACATTTCACAACAATTAGTCAGCATGTCTTAAAAAAAGTTTAGATGTGTCTTTGGTTGTGCTATGTTTGAAAGCTCCTTGATGACTGCAAATATACTTTTCAAAGCTGTGAGAACATATAAATAATTCAGCATTTGAAACAGCAAACTTTCTTCTTTCAACTGTATGACAAAGGCATGTATAAAGACTAATTGAGCATCATGAATATTAATAAGAAATCTTGACATTTCAAAGTAAAGTAGATCAAAGGTAAAAGCATGAGTCATCTCATCTCATTTTTGTGAGCTCACAATGATACACATCTCTCTGCTTTCTGGAGCTATCAAACTCATTTGTCACTTAGTTTACCTGCAAACACACAAAAACAGTGAAAACCGTAATGTTGGGAGAGCTTGTTTTTAAATCTTGTGACTGTAAAAGCTTGTGACTGTCAATGTGTAATATTGTACTTCCTGCAAAAGCTTCCTGAACGTCAGTGCTATTGAAGGGCTGATTAAACTAGTCGCAAGCACACTCTTGAATTGAGTCACAAGTCTAAATTAGGTTGTTTTAACAGAAATAAAGTCTGATAACAAGTGCAGATCATTTCCAATGTAATGCTTTATACTCAAAATAAAAGCATATAAGAAGCTGCGTTTAGTTTTCTTGTGAGTCATGCCACTAATGGCCTGTAGGATATGAGGTTGAGGGCAGAAACAGTACTTAAATATAGATGGACATGAGTTGGTGATTCATCAGCAGATCCTGTCAAATCTCTCAGCCATCAGTGTCATTAACAATGACCTACATTCAGTGCTTAAATCTTCAGTGCTGTTGTGGTTTGTAGCAAGGCAAGGTAGATCTCGCATGTGTTGAGGTAACGGCAAATGGCTGTGGTGTGTTGCATGGTCTTCAGTTTACTGCTGTTTTATTTGAATATCTCTGTGATTGAAAGTTTAATGATTTTATCTGGGAACAGCCCAGTTGCATTTTTAGCTCCCCAAATGCAGGATTACCTGCTTGCTGGCATTCTCTCCTTTCACTGAAGATGATTGACAGGCTGAACTACTCTGTGTTTTGACTCTTATTAAGCAACATAATTAAACCACTCTGTCAGAAAAACATTAACATGTGGTTGCTAGGATGTTCTGATAATTACTAAGGTGTTGCTAGGGTGTTACTGCATGCAAGTCTTCTGACTGCGGAGGTGTTATAGGTATTTTTAGCATGTTGATAAGAGGTAGGTTGCAATTTTATTGCATTACTAGTTTTTTATTGTCAGCCAGGCATGAAAATAGCACACATCTCAACAAGACCCATGTTTTATGCCTGTATTACAAAAAGTGAGGTGCACTTAGGAAGAAGAGTTTAAAGGAGTAGTTCACTTTATAAAAACGTTTGCTGATAATTTACTCCCCCCCATGTCATCCAAGATGTCCATGTCTTTCTTTCTTCAGTCGAAAAGAAATTAAGGTTTTGATGAAAACCATATATAACCATTTTCTCCATATAATGCACTTCAATGGGAACCAAACGGTTCAAGGTCCAAATGACAGTTTCATTGCAGCTTCAAAGCGCTTTAAACGACACCAGACGATGAATAAGTGTCTAATCTAGCGAAACGATTGGTCATTTCAAAAATAAATGACTTGTTCATTTTGATGAACGAGTTCGATTTGTGCTTATAAAACTTAAAGTTTTTATTTATTTTTTAAATGAGCGATCGTTTTGCTAGATAAGACCCGTATTCATTGTCTGGAATCGTTTAAAGCCCTTTGAACAGTTTGCAGTTTGCAGTTTGAAGTCCATTATATGGAGAAAATCCTGGAATTTTTTCATCAAAAACCTTCATTTCTTTTTGACTGAAGAAAGAAAGACGTGGACATCTCGGATGACATGGGGAGGAGTAAATTATCAGCAAACTTTTTTTTTTTAAAGTGAACTACTCCTTTAATTTGGTATCAGGGGGTTGGTTTCAGGATGTTTGCTTTAGCAATGTGATCAAATATATATTGATTGCAATGATCCATTCAAGCCATCCAAGCTTAGTTTTGTGGTTGAGTTAGTCTGTGTCCCATTTAAAGACAGACAGATGGTTCACTCAATATACTAGAAATTTCACTGCTGGGTTTTCATAATTTCATCTTCATTTGGCCAAGTGGAGTGAGTAGGCCTGTGGCACAGGGCCAGAATAGATACAGCACCTTCTAATTAGTACCAGGCCTTGGTGTTAACAGACCTGACTGATCCCCTGCAAACAGCAGAGGATGCCACCTTGTCTGAGAAAAGAAATGGCATCATTACTGCTGTCTCTTGATCCTTCAGAAATGATTCTAATATGATGATTTGCTGCTCAAGAAACATTTCTTATTATTTTCAAAATCACTGGATATCTTCTTTAAAATGCTGCCATGGTCTCAGAGAAAAATGAAATATGCAGGAAGATGAGTGATATGAAAAATAAAATAATGTTTCTTGCAGTCTTGTCAAATTAACCTGCTTCAAAGATGACATTGGACAATAATGCCCAATTTTTTAAAATCAAAGGCATTCCATGCATCCCATTGCTTATTTTGCACTATGACTTTGATTTGTCATTTAAAGGAATAGTTCACTTTAAAATAAAAATTCTGTCATCATTTACCTAACCTCAAGTTGTTTAAAACCTGTATTATGACTTTTAAGTCAATGGGGTCCATCAACTGTCTGGTCACCGACATTCTTT